GAATCTCGTCAAAAGAAAAAGAAGTGGAAGTTGAGAAGAATCCCAATTGTTAAAGTCACTTATCTTTTAGGAGTTAGAATCTAGGTTGTTGTCAGTGATGCCCGACCACTTTACTTTTATGTAGACCCTGATTTGTAATATTAAGTGTCACTTGCCACATAGATATTCAATTTGAGTAATTAATTTAGTTGATTTGTTTAATTGATTGAGCATTAAAATTACCTATTTTTATAGTCATTTTGCTTACATGTCGTATTTATTTTAGCCTGGAATATGATTATAGCTCATAAGGACTCGTTCAAAAATTTTCTACTATAATCAAAATTAAAATTTTTAAGTCAATATAGAAACTCTAACATTTTAAGAAGTAAGCACAGGACCACCAGGAGTTCTCATTTCATAATTGCTATATTTTCTTTCCACTTGTTAGGCACCTCCCCACCTGCAGATTTTGGCAGACCACCTAGCCTATAAAGATGCAGTTATGTCAAGGGGATATGTGCATCTTTTGGATAAAACCTATTTTTAAGCTAAATTTTTAAACTTTTTCATTTTGATTCATACATTTAATCGAGTCAACTGTCATGCATTGTGTTAATAATAAGTTAAATCGAGTCTAAACTTTAATCAAATTTATTTAGACATTAAATAGCTAATATATGTTAAAAGGCCAACTAGGATCTGCTCTAGATGTCGGCCCTATTCTCAAAAACTTTTCTTAAATAACGTCCCTATCACTCAACATTAAAAGATCAGACTCATAGTTTTGAAGCATCTAGGTGGTTTAGCTAGCTCCCTAATCTAGGCCGGGGTAAGTCCAGATTTACATTGTATTAGCTAGGTTCGAGTTTCTAATATTTTAGAACCCACTTTAGACTTAGGTTCTGAGGCAAACTCGGGCTATAAGACCTCAACCTCCGAGAATTGAATCCCAACTTTCTAATAAAATTGACCACTCAAATTTAAACATCTATTAATCAAATTCAAGCCCAACACTTAGGATAGGCTAAGGTGTTTTTGAAGTAATTCAGAATCTCAAAATATCTCCTACCCTTCTTCCTTTGACTCCAGGAATAAGTCTTCAATTTTGATCCAATCCCATTTTAAAATTTCAACAATTTCCTCCTTTGACATCAAGCTTTGAAATTCTTAAATAAAATTTATACTGTTATTTTAATTGAGAGTATTCATAGGAAAATCTAGTTTCCTACGATTTAATTAAATACGAGGGCTTGCTTTTGTAGGAGATTTAGAAACCCAAATCAAATATTTAAAATTAAGTTTTCAAAACATTTAATTAATTATCTTTAGGAAATTTAAAATTCAACAATCGTTATCTCCATTTTCAAATGATCAATAGTGATTGATAACTTCTTTCATTGTAGAATTATATCAATTTCTATTGTGATTTTGATTATGAAATTAAGAATCTCTTATTTGAATTATTATAGTTAAACAATTGATTGAGCATCATTTTGATCTTTCGAGATCATATGTTATCTTTCCTGAGTTTGTCTATGATAATTAGGATAAAAAAATTCAAAGTTCTGAAATTTGAACCCATTAGGAAATGGTATATTCGCCTCCCGAGATGATATGCTATTTATAATATCATGTTCAATTTTAAAATTATAATTCTAGAAATTAAACTTTCCCAAAGAAAATCAATATTTTAAAAATCATATTTTTTTCAACCAAACAATACTCTACATATGAAGTCAAGAACGAATAGTTAGGTCAGAAGCTACTGTGGTATAAATCAAGCCTAATCTCATCGGGTGTAAAATATGTTTGATTTTTATGCTTTGAGTAAAAGAGCCAAAACTTTCCATCTAATAAAAAAGAAGACAACTTACATGCCACATGAATGAAATATTCTACTGAGATGAATTCAATGGTTAGACTTTTTGTCCATGTAATAAACTACTATACATCCCGGACCTTTGAGTATGAATGCTCATATACACACTGGCATGTAATAAACATAGTAATTATTTTTCAAAAGTAAAAAATAAATACTCAGAAATAATCCTAAAAATGAATATATACTTTTTTTTCCTAAAGTTACAAGTGATATTCTTTTCAGTAATACAAACTTCCTACAGTGAAACGAAGTGCCACTGAATGTGCCAGCCAACCATTAAAATGACCCCATGCATGAGATGCTTCTGCATCAGAGTAATACTTACAAATTTCCCTCACTCTCCTGAAGTCTTCGCGTCAACCCTACTCAATAATCTCCGGTCAATCATGCCAGGTAAAGTCACTGCTATTTCACAACCACCCATGTCGCAGTCATCCCCTTAAGCACCATTGAATGTGCTAGCTAGCCTATTGAGGGCGACATGTGCCTAAAATCCTTTTATAAAAATATTAAAATATCACGAAGAAATTTATTAATATAAAATTAGTTTCAATTCGCTTTCAACTAAATATAAAAAAGTAATTTTATAGAGATTTTTTACAATTAACCAAATAACCCAACGTATTTTAAATAAATACTTACAATCTAATAACACAACTTAATCTAAGCACAAAGATTTGATCTTACCATGTTGTATCATAATTTTTGCATATCTTACTATGTGGTTTCTCGATCTCTGCCTTCAAATTGATGCGATTTCAATAAAATCCATATATCTGATATCTCTTAATCAGAAGGGGCAGTGCAACCACAACGCCAGCAAACACTCCGAGGAAGATCCTGTTCTCTTTGAGAAGAAAAGCACAAAGGTCTAAGCTTGCAAGCATCAGAGTTGCCAAACTTATTCTCCCCAACATTTTGATGATTTGCGGGTTCGGAGTAATTCGACATAATGGGGAACTCATAATCATCATGATAGTCGCTGACTCAAAGCAGATGAATAGAAAGATGACGGCAAAATCAACATATAATTTTGCTTCATTAGCAACTTGGTTCGGAAAACTTGTAGCTAAGACGGTCAGTAAGCCGTTAAATGATAGAGCCAAACAAAACTTTGAGAATTTCAAGGCGTACTCCTTTTGCATCTGTTCAACAATTTGAGCAGTTGAAAATGCAAATGTACCATCTGTTTCAACCTGTAGAAACGCAGGAATGAATGGAGGAAATTTACTAATTCTTTATTATTTCTTTTTTTTTAATAATCATCAATTTATCTTAGAAGGCTAATCTTTCTAATTCATGAGAATGTTATTTATCTGTGGAAAAAATAAGTGTAACTAAATATATTTATTTGTTTACTCATTTTTTAATTTTAGATAAACATTATATAAATATATATATTTATATTTTTAATTTAATACAATTTCTTAGAAAATTGTCATTATCTTTAGTCTGCCTATTTAAAGTTTAATCATATTTTCTTAAATGTGATTAAAAAAGTAGATTTAATTACAAATATTTATAGCAACATAAATAACAATTGCATTTCTATTTAAAAAGGATGACAAAATATATATATCATTATAATTATTTCAAATAATTTTATTTATTTTTAAACGATTTGTACTAATGGTATGATAATCAGTTATACCTTTTAAACAAATATAATAACAGCTCAATTCTTTATATATAATTCTTATATAAAATGAACTGATGCTATTTAATTTTATTATAAATTTTTGGAAACATATTATTTATATAAATTGAATTGAATTAGCTGATCATAATACTATAGAAACATTTTAATGAACGAAACAAAGAAAATGAGTGATGATACAATCCATCGGTTTTAAAACTATATAGAGGAATTTATTTGTGGTGCAAATAAATGCTTTTTTTTTTATAAATTTAAATATTAAAATAAATTTTAACTAGAAAAATACATCAAGTAGTCATGTGAAGGGTGTGTTGATTGCCACAAGGAGAAGTTGCCATCTAAGTTGCAACTTGTTATTTTAATTAATGTTGTGATTCTTTATAAATTTCTAAGTTACAATATCTAAATATGTAATATTGATTTGCAAAGAATATAGAAAAAATATAGGGTTTTTTTTTATATATAAAATGGCATGCATGGATGTGGAGCAGAGAGAGAGAGAGAGGACTCTGTGGAAAAATATAAGTCTCTTTTAACTAAATCATATTATTTTTATACTCTTTTTTTAATTTTAAGGATAACTGAATTTATCAATATAATATAATTTTATTTCTACTACTTTTTATATTTAATTTACAATTTCCTTAAACATGTCATTACTTTATGTTCCTATCTAATTTTAATCATGTTTCTTAATATGATCGTAGATTTATTTACAAATATTTCGTATGGCACACTACCTTAAAAGCAATTTCATTCAATAGACAGGCGAATTGATAAAACAATAGTCATGTTCTATCTATATATTATCTTCGAAATAAATTCGTACGTATTGTTTTATAGACGATTGCCCTCCCGTAACTGTAATTCCTGCCTATGATTAATTCGCTATCCTTATAAACAAATTAATACATACACTCAAACTTTTATATAATCGTTATATAATGTGAACTGCGTATGCTACTTAATTTTATTTATAAATTTTGATAAATATTATTTATTACAATTGAAGGTTAATTAAGCTGAATACATACATTACCTATAGAAACATATTTATGAACGAAACAAGAGGAACCAAGCAGAGTTGAGATCACAGCTGATCTCCAATCCATGGGACTATCTGGGTTTAATAACTATATAGAGGAATTTATTGTGGTGCAACTAAATGCTTTTTTTTATAAATATTAAATATTAAATATTAACTAGAAAATACATCAAGTAGTCATGTGAAGGGTGTTGATTGCAACAAGGAGAGTTGCCATCTAAGTTGCAACTTGTTTATTTTTAATTTAATGTTGTGATCTTTTTATAAATTTCTAAGTGTACAATATCAAATATGTAATATTGAATTTGCAGATATAAAAATATAGGGTTTTTTTTATAATAAAATTGGCAGCATGGGATGTGAGCAGAGAGAGAGATGAGAGAGAAGAGGAGTGTTATGACGGGGAAGATCACAAGTAGGGGGTGTCAATATTTGACACGACACGAAAATCCGACCCGGACCCGACCCGGAAAATCCGGGTTGAACCTGAACCCGATTCAAACGGGTCAGTTCGGGGTTCCAGAAATATGACCCGTTAAAAAAACGGGTCGATCGGGTTAGGGTGACCCGGCGGGTTCCCGGGATCACCCGCCAACCCGTTTAATTCGAAAAATTTCGATCCCGGCCTCTGCCCGCTCGCCGCCGCGCTCCCGCCGCGCGCCTGCCTGCGCTGCCCGCGCGCCCGCTGCGCTCCCGCACGCGCATGCTTGCGGTTCCCGCGTGCCCAGAAGCGCCCGCGTGCCCGCTGCGCCCGACCAGCGCCGCGCGCGCCCGCGTGCGGCCAGCGAGCTGCTCCTAGCGCTCGCCAGCGTCGGCCCGAGCGCCCGACCTCGCCCGCGCCCGCACTGTCCCACTCGCTGTCCGCCAACGACGCTCGCGTCGCCGCCCTCCTCGCTCCGTCCCCACCTCGCTCGCGTCCGCCGTCCGCCGCCGCCGTTCCGGCCGGACCAGCCAAACCGGGTCGGGTCGTGTCGTGTCAACCCGGCAACTCGCGGTCGGGTCGGGTTCGGTTTGACCGACCCGTTTGTCGTACCGGGTCGGGATTAGGGGTTGACCCGTTTGAACCCGGTCAGTCTGTTTCGACCGACCGGACCCGTGACCGAAATTGACACCCTGCTATCACAATGAATATTGCCCTTTAGGTACAGTAAACATAACTTTTCTTTAATGAAAAAATATGTGAAAATTGAAAAATATATTTTCCAAATTTAAAAAATAGAAAATAAAAAATATTAAAGCGCACAGGCAACACGAATTAAATTTTGGAATCCTCTTTTTAATATTTACAAATTTATTATAATTTTTATTGTAAAATTTGCAATAATAGT